ACGATTGCTTTGTTGTTTAATTATGAGAGAGTTTGTGTTGTGGGCTCTGTATTTATAGCCATGAGATGATTATTTCTTTTCAAAAACTAATAACAAAAATTGGACTTTTCTTTTATTCATTTCTTTGGATATATATGAGATCAGCGATATTCTTTTATAAAATGAAAAAATTCACAGGCGACTTTGTACGTGAACGTGGATCATTTTCACATGATCTTCTATACGTGAAAGTTAATTTTTCTTTTGACTAAATATATAGTGTGGATTTACAAGAAAAAGATATATATTTTTGTAGAAGGAGAAATGTATTAGGTAAATCAATTGATTAAGTCTTTTCAAAAAAAAAAAAAAAACCAATTGTATAAGAGATAATCAACTTAGGTGTTATAACTTATTGGAAGATAAAAAAAGAATTAGATGATAAACCGAAACGCACAAAAACTAATATAAATGAGACACATCCTTGCTAAAAACTTTTTTTTTATAACCAGAGAAGTCCGGATTTTTACCACCCGACTAATCTCTAGGATGAATGTAGCCGTCGAATTGTCCACTCACCGAGTTTTTTAAGGAGATTAAAGCGTGATATCATTTCTACTGGTCAAATGAAAGTGAAAGTGCATAAACCACATCTATTCTATAATTAAACATCTAGAATAGCAAAACATTATATATCTTTTCTAAAGTATCACTTGTTTATTTGGTTTATATTCTCGACAGTGACCTAAAATTTTAAAAACAATTAATGGAGGATTGGGAGAACCTACAAAGCCAACACACTTAAATAAATAAATAGATAAAGTCTGTCTCAATCGTATGAGAATCTAGATTTTATGGGACCCGTTTATAGCATTTCCTCAAATTCTTCTCGTTCTATTAATCTTTAAAAAAATCGTTTAATATTCGGAAGGGATTTTCTTTAATTTATTTTCATAGTTTGTACCTTTTATACTCTTACACCTAAATATTTTTTTTTAATTGTCCTTAACTTGTTTTCAGAATGAATGGTAAAATACTAAAGAAGCTTCACAAACTAACGAATAATTGATATTTTATATGGTTGTTTCTCAATTCTCACCTGAATGATGGAAGTGTGGAACATCCCATCTCAATATACATATATATACCAAAACCTTAAATATACGTACGGTAATTCTAACGATACAAACACACATGGAAAGGAGCCCTAATGGTGGTTCTAATTCATTTCCGAACAGCAATATGGGAGAATCGCGTATTTAATTGTCTACGAGAACTATTCATAACTACTTTTAGATTTAATTATAATAATTAGTAGTTATCCGAGGCTATTCGACGTAGTTATTATTCACCAAAAATATTATATTAGCCACCCAATTTCCGATTTCATTAGTGCATACATACACGACTCACGAGAGCTTAATACGTCACTGACCGAATCATATGCATTTTAATTTTATAATTAAAAAATACATCGTTTTCATATATTAAAGAGAGAAATTCGTATTCGTATTACATAAGTAGTAAAACCGAATATGTACTCTTGTTAACGTCTCGTTCAAGGAACGAGTGTTTTATTTCGACAAGATTGGAATTATACAGCAAGCCGACCACGAGTTCGTAAATCTTGTGTACGCATATTTGCAAGATTCTCTCGTATGACTCGATGCAGCCAAAATGGATTAATTCAAAGCCTTTCTTTCGAACTCTTCAACATTAACCATCGACGTGGCGGATTATGCAGAACTGCATTTTGAAAATCAATTCAATTTAAATTCTCTTTTGCAACGACAACAAATTATTAATGTGCCCCATCGACAAATGAAATCATAAAGAAAATGAAAAATAGTACAAGTTCATAGTAGAAAATGGGCAAGGATTCAAAGTATAGATTATTCTACTTTTGTAAAACCTTACATTCATTCCTTAATGGTATTTGCTATTTGTCAAAAAAAAGAGGTCATACTAGTTTGCGCAATTGTATATAGTTTTATGTGGTTTTTCATGGCTCCAATAAATATGGATTAGATTATATGTAAAACTCTACTGTGAAATCTTCATATTAAGACAACGTAATGTTTTTTTAACATATAATATATTTTCTTATAAATAATGTTAACCAAGTAGTGGTAGTATAGTGATTCGAAACTCATGAAAAATCTTTCACTGTTATTTGATCAGTTAAAATGTGTCACGTAAAAGACCCATTAAAAATCTTGATAAATGAATTACTCGACTCACTATGAAAAGATTAGTAAGGTTTTGGCTTAATTAGATCACTCATGGTTCTTAAAAAGGGATAAAAAATGTTCATCTTGTAATTTACCAGCAAAGAATTTGACAGCTGATTCAAAAAATAATATTAGTGCCAGAAGGTAAAGATAAAGAGGCATAGATGGGCAAATGAGTGTGGAGATGCCATGAGTTGTTTAATACCGAATTAGAACTAATTAAAGGTATGTAGATTGGGGGAATATATACAAAAGGACACGCATATTTATTTTCTATTTGAATTATAAAGTTTTAAAATGTCTTTGGATCGAAACGAGAACATCATTAAACTATAGTATATAATTGATCTGGTGGCAGGGGATGCATTGTTCGGAATATAAATGATTAAATGATAATTAACAAAGAGTCTAACGTTGTCTTTTCATGCCTCCTTCGGACACTAATGTAGCCAGTAGCTTTGTAAACTTAACCATTAGACCCTTTTTAGTGCATAATCGAGTCAAGTGTAGGTTTTGGTGATCAAATTTTAAATGGTGCTGTAAATATGATTTCAAAATTTTAGGAAAATATTAGAAATGCTAAGGATTAAAAAAAACCAGAGATTTAATAATGACGTAAGATATAGTTTCAAGAGTTTTTTTATACTTAACTTTAAATCACATCGTAATCAAATGAGTTTGATGGATTAATGAAAAGTTGTTTATCTTTTAAGTTTTAACTAATGATCACCTCATATATTATTATTATATTTATAATAAAACTATGCCCAACCGCATATGTCTAATGGTAGTGGCACTTCGGGCAGAGCTCGTGACAACGTAAAAGCCGTGACAACGTTGGCGGATGCTATAAGCGAACAAAAATGAAAAATTAAATTCACTAAAAAAATCATTTAAGTACCATTTTCGTATATCAAAAAGAATAAAAAAATTAAGCTAGTAGCGAAAATATT